CGCCCCACCCCCACCCGCTGCGCCCAACCCCCACGGCGCCTGCTCCTTCCCGACCGGCCTTCTTCCCCTCCCCCACTTCCGGTGCTCGGGAAACCCGGAGACCGAGCGCCCCTGGTAATCAACTGTTCTTCGACCCCAGAGAGGCAGGTGACACTAGACGGCTCTCTGCGTGGCAACAATTTCTCTAGTTTAGCGGACCCCCACTGCCTAAGTCAGCCTTAGTCCCAGGAGCCGAGTTTACCTGCTCATTGCCCTCTAGGGTCCTACTATTTCGGAGATTTCTGAAACTCCACATACGAAGCCACTGACCTTATCGCGCTGTTCCAAACCGGTTCCCCACCCTGTCCCGCCCTCCTCTTCGGAATCAAGAGCAACAGGGACACTTCCGTTCTCCTTGTAGGATTGATGAACCCGTAACGAAGAGCACCCCCTAAACTCCCATAATCGGTGCGGATTCCTATGGGGAAAGTCCATATTGTTGACATCTTCCAGGCCTTGGTTCTGGACCTTGAGAAGGAGGCTGTGGAACTAGTAATAGCGATGCTTTGTAGGGTAAATTTGTGTAGATTTGGAGGAGAGGGGAGGGATCGATGCAAAAGAAATGGAAGTGGTTTAAAGTTACTACTTTAGTTTTTGTTGTTCATATAGGGGTCATCTTGCGAGTTGACAGGCCGTAAAGCTTCAGTATAAAAATGTTAACTTTTAATAGAAACGGTAAATTGAAAATGTTGCTTGTTACCTTGTTTTAAAATTTTATTCCCAAAGAATTTTTTTCAGCTACTTACATTTTTAAATAATGTTTTTAGTCGTAATTGAAAGGGCTCAACTAGCATTTAATGACCAGTATGTGGAGTCTGATTTAGTTTTCCAGAATTGACTTTTTGGGTTGTATTGTCAAATCAGTGATGAATGTTGAGTGGTGCACTATGTTTTTGTTTAAGTGAAATTTCCTGAAAATAATTTCAGAATTAAGAGGAAATCGATGTTGCTATTATGAAGCATCATAAAATTTCATATTTTAAGAACTGAACTGAAGGCATTTCAAGCAGGTGCAAATCTTGATGAAGCAGAAAAAACATGATTGAGATTTGAAAGCTCTGGCTTTACCTGCTGCTGACCAACTCAACTCTATGACTGTGGGGAAGTGGGCCTCAGTTCTTTTTTCAGTAACATGAGGATGCTGGACTATTCGAATTTAGAACTTAGAAATTTGGAAGGGATCCCAAAGCCCCCTCACAAAGAATTTGGTAATGTTCTCCACTGCTGTTATTTTTCTTCCAAAAATAGTCTGGCTTCGAAGTCATTGGTCCAAAGGGAATTTGACTCCCCATAGAAATTGGGAAAAAGCTAATCCAAATGCAAAGTAATAACTGTGTTTCTACTTGAGTAATAAACCTGCAAACAGATTCTGGTACAAATTTTGGAACCATAAGGAGAATGAGTGTATGTACTTTAAGTGTACCAGTTTCCCCACTCTCTCCTGACAGAAGATGCAGCAGTTTCAGTGGTGCTGGAATTCTGGGATGTGTTTCCATTAATTCTAATTCAGATGAAGACGATGTGGTAGAGGGAAAGATGGTGGCAGAAGGAGTGGATGAAGAGGCAAAATTGCCTGCTAAAAAGAAAAGAAAGAAGGGTTTGCGGATTAAGGGAAAAAGACGCCGAAAAAAATTAATCCTTGCCAAAAAGTTTAGTAAGGATTTAGGATCTGGGAGGCCTGTTGCAGATGCCCCTGCTTTGTTAAGCTCAAGTGCCCCTGAGCAGGATGAAGAAAGTCTTTTTGACAGCAATATAGAAAAACAGATCTATCTACCTAGTACCAGAGCCAAGACCTCCATCGTGTGGCACTTCTTTCATGTTGACCCCCAGTACACGTGGCGGGCTATTTGTAATTTGTGTGAAAAAAGTGTTAGCAGGGGTAAACCAGGCAGCCATCTTGGTACGTCTACTCTTCAGAGACATCTGCAGGCAAGGCATTCACCTCACTGGACCAGGGCCAACAAGTTTGGAGTCACTAGTGGGGAGGAGGATTTTACTTTGGATGTATCTTTATCTCCCCCTTCCCCTGGAAGCAATGGAAGCTTTGAATATATTCCTACTGACTCGATAGATGATAATAGGATGGGTAAGAAACGTGATAAATCAGCATCTGATGCTCTGAGAGCAGAAAGAGGGAGATTTCTCATCAAAAGTAACATTGTCAAGCATGCTTTAATACCTGGAACCAGAGCCAAGACATCTGCAGTTTGGAATTTTTTTTACACTGATCCTCAGCACATCTCAAGAGCTGTGTGTAATATATGTAAAAGAAGTGTGAGCCGGGGTAGGCCAGGTTCCCACTTAGGAACGTCAACACTTCAACGACATCTGCAAGCCACACATCCCATCCATTGGGCTGTTGCCAACAAAGACAATGGTGCTATTGGAAATGGATTAGATGAGACTGAGAATAGTGATCTCTTGAATGATACTTTACATGGAGAGAAGTCTACAGGTAGCCAAGATTTAACAGCTGAGGACCTTAGTGACTCTGATTCTGATGAACCTCCTGTGTTAGAGGTTGAAAATAGATCTGAAAGTCCTGTTCCTGCTGCAGAGCAAGACAATCAGATGCATTCACAAGAGAGAGAAACATTTTGTGAAACCTCAGCCTCTAATCAAATAAGCCAGGCAATTATTCAAATGATTGTAGAGGATATGCATCCTTACAACTACTTCTCAACCCCAGCTTTTCAGAGATTCCTGCAGATTGTGGCTCCTGACTATAGATTGCCATCAGAGACTTTCTTTTTTACTAAGGCTGTACCTCAGTTATATGATTGTGTCAGAGAAAAAATTTTCTTAACTTTAGAGAACGTTCAAAGCCAAAAGATACACTTGACTGTTGACATATGGACCCATGACCCATCCACTGACTATTTCATTGTGACTGTACACTGGGTGTCTTTGGAAACTGCGTCTTCTCCTAGTAATGGCAGAATCCCTGATTTTAGAAAGTGGGCAGTGCTTTGTGTTACAGGTTTTGCCAAAGGCTGTTTGATAACCAACATTTTGCAAGAATTAAATGACCAAATTGGTCTGTGGCTTTCTCCTAATTTCCTTATCCCTAGTTTCATTGTTTCTGACAATTCCTCTAATGTGGTACATGCAATCAAAGATGGTGGTTTTACCCATGTGCCATGCTTCCTGCATTGTTTAAATATTGTCATTCAGGACTTTTTCTCTGAGCACAAAAGCATTGAGAATATGTTAGTGGCTGCTAGGAAAACCTGTCACCATTTTAGTCACTCGGTCAAGGCCCGTCAGATACTACAAGAGTTCCAAAATGATCACCAGCTTCCATGGAAGAATTTGAAGCAGGATGAAACTGGTCATTGGGTTTCTACCTTTTATATGTTAAGATGGCTCTTGGAGCATTGCTACTCAGTTCACCATAGTCTTGGTAGAGCCAGTGGAGTTGTACTCACCTCCCTTCAGTGGACTCTCATGACATATGTTTGTGATATTCTTAAACCATTTGAGGAGGCCATCCAGAAAATAAGTGTAAAGACCACAGGATTAAATCAGGTGCTACCCCTAATCCATCATCTACTCCTTTCCCTTCAGAAACTCAGAGAAAATTTTCAAATCAGAGGTATTACTCAAGCTCTCAATCTGGTGGACAGTTTATCTCTGAAACTTGAAACTGATACCCTACTAAGTGCCATGCTCAAATCTAAGCCCTGTATCTTGGCTACTTTGTTAGATCCATGCTTTAAGAACAGCTTGGAAGACTTTTTTCCTCATGGTGCAGATTTAGAAACTTACAAACAGATCCTTGCAGAAGAGGTTTGCAGTTATATGGAATCTTCACCAGAGGCCTGCCACATTGCAACTACGGAAGCCTCTGGTTCCTTAGTTACAGTAGGAACCTATTCATTTACCTCATCTATGAAAGAAGGCACCTCCAATTCAGGTTCCATGGATAGCTCAGCTGCAGACAATGTTGCCATTGGAAGCAAAGGCTTCATGTTCCCTTCTGCTATAGCAGTAGTGGATGAGTACTTCAAAGAGAAATATTCAGAGCTCTCAGGAAGTAATGACCCTTTGATTTACTGGCAGAGGAAGGTGAGCGTATGGCCAGCTTTGACCCAAGTTGCCATTCAGTATCTAAGTTGCCCCATGTGTAGTTGGCAATCTGAATGTATCTTTACTACGAATAGCCACTTTCATCCAAAGCAGATCACAAGCCTGGACTTCGACAATATAGAACAATTGATGTTTCTGAAAATGAACTTGAAAAATGTTAACTATGATTATTCTACATTGGTTCTCAGCTGGGATCCTGAAAATAAGGTTGTTCAAAGCAGTGAAAAAGAAATATTACCTTAATTTCTTTTTCCGTTCTCTATTTAAAATGAGAAACTTTTTGCTATGTTAATGTATCTTTATTGCTATAGTCATTATATATAATCATACTAATTTTTAAAAAAAACTGGGCCTGGTGGTGCATACCTGTAGTCCCAGCTATATGGGAGACTGAGGCAGGAAGATTGCTTGAGCCCTAAAGTTTGGGACCAGCCTGGTCAATATAGCGTTCATTTGTATTAAGAAACCAAAACAAATCTAAATCTGGGGGAACCTGAAAACACTGAAGGGCTTAAAATTCCTCAGAAGCAATATACTGTTGATAAAATGAAGGTTTACTTTAATGGTTTTACAGTTGTAATTCAGTGTTACACTTGAAAATTTTGAACATGTTTACATCAGTTGAGAAAGAAAAGATTTTAATTTAAAAAATATAGTGCAGCATTGAAAGGCCTTCAGTGATTTTTGGCTGGTAGATTGAACTAGTAACTGATGTCAGAATTAACCCCAACATGGAAACTTTGATAACTGAAACCTATAAATTGAAGAAAAATACTAATCTGGTATTCCTTCCCCATCTCCATTTTTCTGTTTCTTTAAAAACCCTGATGCTTGTCTACGGCTTTGCAAAAAGAAAACCCACAAAATTGTTTTTGTTATCGTATTTGGAAATTTGTGTACCTCCTCATACTGGTCAGCTTTATAATTTCAGATTACTGTGTGTCATAGAATTAACTTTAGGATTGGATCTTTGTAAAAGAGGAATATTAGAAAACAATTAGGAAAAAACTTGTCTTTGAATTGCCTTTTTAACCTTTGTAATGTATTATAAAAACAACAAAAACTACAGGTGCTTTTGCACAATTTGTGGTTAACATAATAAAAATTTTGCAAAATTGAAAAAGATTCAGTGGGAATTGATCACAAATCCTATATGAGCATGCTTTGAGAAACCCAGTGTGCATTTCCCAAAGAATATTCTTCTGATTTAAAAACTCTACTTAAACATAATATTGTATTCTGTGAAGTTATTCTAGCCACTGTATTTTTAAAAGTAAGCAGTCAGTATTTTCATGTGTTAGGAATCACTGGTGAAATAAGTGAACAGATCTCAATGATCTTTAAGATACCTTTCCACTCTGAAAGTATGTTTCTTTGAATAGGCCAGAAAATGACGACGTTTAGTAAACAACTATTTAAAGTTTCAGACTGAATAACTAATGTAAGATCCCAATTTTTCCTTTTTTTCATTTTAGATTTGGGGATATTCCCTGCCCAAAAAATTCCTGGAAAATTGACTAGTATTAAGTGTGAGTAAAAGGTGTCCACTTTTTATAAGTTTTGGTTTTAGATGTGTCTTCAATAGTATTTGGGAAGATTTAGCCTAGAAATTATGTAGTATTTATTACATGAGAATCAAACTTGCTTTGTTACTGGGCTGGCTTCAAAAATTTACAAAACTTGTTTCTGTGTATCAAAATACTTTTTTCTTTTTTTTAAATTCTTAAACAGTAAATGTACCATTGTGAAATGAAATTTCAGCTCTAAAAGTTTACCCTTTTATTAACTGTAGTACTTGGGTAATTAGTCTTTAGATATCACCATCAGTAGTAAAGATTTTGGATGTAGGATGTATAAGCAAGCCACTTGAGGGCCATTATTACTGCCATGCCAGTGATGTTGTTGATATAAAAGAAGAGGGGGGAAAAACCTTCCCTTAGAAGTTTTCTGTGTTTTGACAGTACCAGTTCAGAATGGCTATAATGCTGCTCTGCCTTCTACAGCTTGCTGCACCACTCTGTAGTTACTCTGTAACTATACGTTTCTATCTTTTTTGGTTAAACACTCCCTGATATGCTGCTATACATACATCCATATTATGCACATTGATATATGTATAAGGGATTTCCCTTCATGTTATTTTGTGGGCTGGGCAAATTGTAACATCAACTTCACACTTCTCTGGTATAAAAAGGTCACTATTTTAGTAATGAACCCAAATTTAAAGACTTTTATAGTGTATTTTAAAAGGGGAAACTTACCCAGATGTTTTATTTCTACACATTTGTGTGTGTGTGTGTGCACGTGTATGTGTATAAGCCAGTTAGAATATATGTATATTATATACATAAAACATTTTATATTTTTGCATACAAGTATGCTTTTAATATACACATAATAAAGACGGGGGAAGGTTTCTGTTTTTTTCTCAATAGGTGAAGAAATCTTGAAGACCAGAAATTGGATCTTAATTGAATTTTGGTGGTGTTTTTTGGTTTTTGGATTTTGGTTTTTGTTTTCTTTTTTCTTTTTAAATTATATTGTTCGGCTATGGAAGATGGATTTTTTTTTTTTTAATGATTCTTTGAATCTCAAGTTCATCTTTAACTGAACTTTTTTGGTTTTTGATTTTGAGGAGATAACTAATGTCAGTCTGACAAAGGTTATTTGAATGGACTTAATCTTCCAGTAGTTGGGAGATGTTTTAAAAACACATCCTGTGTTTCATTTGTGGCTGAGAGATTTCCTTGGCAATGTGAGGAAGAAAATTCTTTCTGCCTCATTATTATTAATTCATGGATTGAGTGTTGGTTCGACCTACAGGCGTAATAGATTGGAACTCAGTGAAGACACAGACATTCCTGTTGAGAACAACCAGCTAATGTAAGTATAGCAATGGGCCTTCTCTCATTAAAGGAGACAACTTTTTTTGTAATTTAAGGCATAATTTTCCTATACTAGTAAGAAAAGTCCATTGTCCATGGTTTTATTGTAATAGTTTACAAGCTTTTAGTTTTTGTATGGAGCCATCATTTTTTCTTATTTCTTTCTTTGGATAATCATACACAAAGTAAAAATAATATAACCAAGTTGAAATTCTCTTGTAATTCCATGTCCTTGGACAATCGTGCTGTTTATAGTTTATCACAACACAGTTCTTTGTCTGTACACATGTCTTTTCCTAGTCTTTCTATTGACTGTAGAGTTTCATTGTATGAGTATGCCAGGATTTAATGAATCACTCATTGATAAACATTTGAGTTTTTGCCATTACAAATAAAACTAGCTTCCATGCAGAAATAGTCTTATGCATACATCTGTGTAAACTATTTCCAATTTTTGGCTGCAAATTTGTAGATTTTTTAATATTACACTCTAAAGAGGTCATAATTTACAGAACTGATGGAGCCTTCTTCATTTGCAGAAGCTCCTGATGTATCCCTTTTAGTAAAGATACTAATCTTTGGCTATGTGCTGATTGATTTTTTTTCATTTGTATCAGTTTTATTGTTATGGTTTTAACTTTGCTATCATAGAAAAAGTTTTTTCAGAGCTTATAAAAAAAGTACCATTTGTATTATATGGTTTGTCTTTTTGTGTTGCACAGTTAAGGAATCAGAAGCTTAGTATAGTGCTCTAATTAGTGAGCTATAACTTTTGCAATCTCTATTCTCTTGTAACTTTTACAAATGAAGTTGAATTTCTTTTTTTTTCTTTTTTTTGAGGTTATTGGTACAATCTAGGTATACAGTACAGTTACATTCATCATTGGGATTCTGTACCTTTACATAATAGGTCTTGATTCTCATTTTTCCCCTTGTCCCTGCCCTCCCTTCACCCCCTCCTCCCCTCCCCATTTACAAACACTTTATTTCCATTTTTTCAGTTTCTCATATTTTTTTCCTCTCCCTTATTACCTTTCCCCCACCCTTCCCACTTTCCTTACACCTTTAGCCCTTTACTTCCTATTTCATATTATTAATTATCCCATTAGGATCCTGTGTACTATTGTAGTTTTTCACACCAAAGAAACTATTCGGTATTTCAGTTAAAGAAATCTCTGTATGAACATTAAAAATAGGGAATCCTAAAATAAAACTAAAAAGGAAAGTAAAAGAGAAAAGGCAATGATGTAACATCAAAATAATCCTTAATTCTGGAGATGAAAATGGTCCCTGAACATATTTAAATTGCTTCTCGCTCTTATAGTCTTATCTTATTCTTTTTTTCATTATTTAGAGAATACTTTATTAGTTTCTGTAATCAAACCAACGTAGATATGAACTTACATATTTGGTACGATGTGTTACCCCTGTACACATGGAAAAAAATAAAAATAAAAATAAAAATAAATTAACATTTCTAGACCAATATGGTTGTCCATTTCTGTACAATTCCAAGTCAACACAGTAAATTGGGATGACTTTTTCCAAAGTTGGCAGCACCGTTAAAGTTTCCCAAAATTCAATTTATATATATATATGTGTGTGTGTGTGTGTATATAAAGACTAATAATAGTATGTTATGCATCGATAGCAGCAACAGCTTTTCCAGGTTTTGCAGTCATCTGAACAAAATTATAGACATTCAGCACATTCCATTAAAAAAAAAAACAAAGAAAAGAATAATATCCAGACAACAGCAAAGTTCTGTTGCTGTTGTGGTACCTGGCACCATTTTTTCTATTAGCCTCGTAATCATCATCTGGAAAGAGAACATTCTAGAGTAATATCATCAAATGTAACTCTGATAAAGCACGGTCCCTACTATTAATCATAAAGCAGGTACTAGATATTTTACATTCATTGAGGTATGATACAGTACTGTCCTACATCAATAGTACTAGATTCAGTTTTGGTTTGAAATTTACTTTGTCTGCAAATAAGATTGCTACCCCTGTTTTTTTCTGGGCTCCTGTCACATGGAGAATTGTTTTCTGTCTTTTCACTTTCAGGCTCTGGGCTTCTTTTTGCACTAGGTGTGTTTCTTGTATACAACATATTATTGGATTTTGCTTCTTACTCCATTTTGCCAGTCTATTTCTCTTGATTGGTAAGTTGAGGCCATTGACATTGCTGGTTATAACTGATATGTACTGACTTATTATTGACATGTTATTGGCCTTTTGTTCACTCTTTTTACTTTCTCACCTCCTTTTAATTTCTTGTCTTGCCTATTTGATTTGCTCTGTTGGGCCTCATGGTGTTGTTGCCTTCATTGTCTTTTTCTAGGATCTTGTTTAGAATTGCTTGTAGTGCTGGTTTGGTATTCATGTAGTTTCTCAGGTGTTCTCTGTCGTGGAAGTGTCTTATTTCCCTCTCCATTTTGAAAGAGAGTTTTGCTGGATACATCAGTCTAGGTTGTAGGTTGTTCTCTTTTAGTACTTGAAATATCTCATTCCAGGCTCTCCTTACCCCAAGGGTTTGTGTTGAAAAGTCTGCTGTGATTCTGATGGGCTTTCCTTTGTATGTGATTTGTTTCTTTTCTCTTACCGCTTGTAGTATTTTGTTCTTCTGTTGGGTTTCTGGGATCTTGATTATTATATGTCTAGGTGTAGATTTTTTTTGATTGTAGCTAGTTGGGGTCCTGTATGCCTCAGTTATCTGAATGTCAGATTCTTCCCCTCTGTTTGGAAAGTTTTCTGTCATTAATTCTGCAAACAGCTTTTTTAAGTCATTTGTATTTTCTCCTGCTATTTCATGTATTCCTATCAGTCTTATGTTATTCTTCTTTGCATCATCTAGGAGTTGTTGGATTGATTTGTCATGATCTCTTACTGTTTTTAAGAGACCTCTCTTTTCATGGTCACTGACTGCAATCTTATCTTCTATATCTGAGAGCCTATCTTCGCATTCTTTTATTCTGTTGCGTACACTTTCAATAGAGTGTTTAATCTCCTGGATCTCTGTTTGAATCTGTTTTATGGATTCCATTTCTTTCCTATGTTGGGCGTTTATTTTTTCCATTTCTTTCTTATGCTGGGCCTTCATGGCTTCTATCATGGTCCTGAGCTCATCTATTTTTTTGTCAGTTTCTGCTCTAGAGTCTTGAATCACGACTTCCATTTTGCTCACTATCTCTGTGGTTATCTGGGAAATTATTTCTGTTTTGAATTTTTCTAGAGCCTGATTGATCTGTTTTGTTACTTCCTGTGCTTTGAGTTCAGGGTGTCCTGGTGGTTCACTATTGGCCTTTTCATCCTCATTTGCCCTACTGTTTGCCATTGGTGAACTGGAAGTCTGTCCTTGTGTCTTGCTTAAGTGTTTTCTCATTTTTATTTTTGTTGTCAGACTGTCCTTGGTTTAATCTCTGGATTATCACCCCAATCTTCTGATATAGTTGCACCCTAGCTTCTGTGTCTCTAAGGACCTACAGACATTCTCATCTTCATAACATCAGAGAAAACAGCCCATCAAATCAACGGCAATGCTTTACCCCAACTGATACAATCAGCAACACATTAAGATCAAGCACAACTTGGACACTGACCACCTGTGGTAGTCACTAGTCTATCACCCTTAAATCATTTGAATTAAATTGAAATCAAGAAGCAGTCCAGAACATGTCTGCAGTGAACAAACTTTTCAATATAGTATATTTACCATTTAATGGCTCAGACAGAGCGAGGATGCAAGACCCCTGATCTCAGTTAGCTGATTGCTGAACCCCATGACGCTGACTGACCTCGGGCTGCAAGGCCCAGATTGAGTTCCCCATCCTTCTGAATGGTTGAACTCCACAATGTTCTATTACAGGTTTCCCATGCCCTTTCTTTAAAGATGTTCAAAGTTGGGAACTCAGAAAAATACCCTTGATGACCACCTCTGTCTTTGCAGAGTGGGTCCAAAGACTTGCACAGTCAGGAGGTCTGAGAGTGTGGGGGGGTCGGGGGGCGGATTATGGGGTCAGGGGCGCCCGCGCAGCTACCTTCCCGGTGCTTGAGCGATGGCTGTTGGGTCGGGAGCAGGCGTGGTTCTCCTTCCCGCGGTGGATCGGGGCGGCCTACCTTCCCAGCGCTTGAGCGATGGCTGCTCTGAATTTCTTTTTAAATAGTTGACCATTTTTAATTTCAAATGCCACTTTTTTTCATAAATCACATTTACTTTTTGAGTTCTGTTGACCCGTGTACTCGTTCATATAGCAGTATTACATTTAAATGTTATACATACCATCTACAGTATCGGGTAGAGCAAGGTTCTTTCATTCCTTTTTAAGTATCTTTATTTTTTGCAAACACTTATTTTTCTAAATAACTTTACAGTGTCAAGTGCTAGTAATAAACTCTCACTGGGATTTTTTCCATTTTTTCCTTCTATCTTCACTTTTTTCTTGTCCCTTCTGTCCTTTCTCCCTCTCTTCTCCCTGGTTCCCCTTCCCGTTTGAACACTTTCTTCCCATTTCCCAGCATTCATTATCTCAGTCCTTATTTCCACATTCAGTTTCTCACACCAGAGAAACAATGTGACATTTAAACATGTCTGTCCAATTTATTTCTCTTGGGCCGGGGATTTAGCTCAGCGGTGCCACCACCTGCCTTGCAGGCACAAGGACCCGAATTCAATCCCCAGTACCCCCCCCCAAAAAAAGGTTCACTTGAGTATGGTCTCAAGGTCCATCCATTTAGCTATAAAGTCTGAAGCCCATCCTTCTTTATGGCAGAGTAGTACTCCATTGTATAAAAGCCACTTTTTTATCCACTCATCATTTGATGGGCATTTGGGCTGTTTCCAAGATTTAGCTATTGCAAACTGGATGTGTGTATATTGCTATTGTATGATGCCTTTAATTCTTTTGGGAAAATACCAAGAAGAGGTATATCTAGGTCAAATAGAACCCCTAATTTTAGTTTTTTGAGAAGTCTCCACACTCATTTCTAGCGGTTGCACCAGTCTACACACCCAACCACAGTGTAGCAGGGTTCCTTTTTCCCCACGGCCCTTCCAGCATTTGTTATTGGTTGATTTCTTGACAGCCATTTCTGGAGTGAGATGGAATCTGAACATTGTCTTAATTTGCATCTCTCGAATGAAAAGTCTTACTGGGGTTTTGACTTGAATTCCATTAAATTGTATGTATTATTCTTGGGAGAAGTAACTTGTTTATCCTCTACTCCATTTATCCAATATCCAAGTCTTCTAGGCCTTCATTATATTAGTTTTTTTGTTTTGCTTTTAATGTAATGTGGCTCTTGAATACTTCTTTATTCTTACATGTAATTTTATTTTGAATGGGACTCATGAATGATTATTTCTGGCATAGAGCAAAATTACTGACTTTGTATATCTATCTTACATTTTTAATGTTTATAGTATGTATGTATGTGTTTATTTATTTGCCTGTTAAGGTTTGCTAATTTGCAAACATGTAACTTTCAGCTGGATTTTTTTGTCTCGTCTTTTCTTTGGTATACTAGATCCTGGGACTCTTTTGAAGGGTTGTAGAAACTGAGAGTCCTTCGTTTGTCTTAAGTGAGCTAACTGCTAGTGTTGTACCATGCTTCAGTACTTAGGGTTTCTGATATTTAGGAAGTTCCATATGATTTACTGAATTTTTCTTCTTTCTTTTTCAGTGCTGGGAATTGAACCCAGGGCTTCATGCGTGCTAGACGGCCATTCTGCCACTCTGCTATATTCCTGCATACCCCTTTCATCTTTTTTTTTAATGTCTTCTGGTATCTCTTGCGAAGGCATCTGAGCTAGCGTTGAAACTTGCGCTTCTTCTGAACTGGCAGTCCTCTTGGGAAGCTAGGATTACAGGTGTGCAGCACTGCTCCTGGCGCTTTTCTAAAAATCAAGAGTGGATATTGCATTTGAGCCTGCTTTTTTATTCTTGCGCATTATACTTAAAAAAAACAACAACTTTAACTTCTTTTTTCTTTTCTTTTTTTCCTTTCTTCCCCCTCCTGGTACTGGGGATTGAACTCAGGACCTTGCGCTTGTGAGGCAGTACCACTGAACTACATCTCTGGCCCTGTTTTTTGTCTTTTTGAAATCTTGTTAGATGATCACGATTGTTGGTCATGTAGTATTACTTTTAGTATGCATTTTTGTTTAATTAGCTAATGCCTTACTTGGGATTTCAAGTCTAAAATCTTCCAGATTTTGAGCTATCTGTGAAATACAGCTTGAAAGGCTAAATCTAAAGTCAAGGTCTCCTTTAAATTTTGTCTTTTGGTATTTAGAGTTTCAGTTGAGAAGTAAAATAATGTGAGGTCTTTCCTTTGTCGGTCTGCTCTTTGCTCTAAGTTCATGTGATTCTGTCTTTATGTTGGAATTCGGAAATTTTACCATAGCTATGTGTACTAGGGATGTCTTTAAAATAAAGTTATGTTTGGCATTTGATGAGCTTTTTTAAAGGCTCAAATCCTTTGAGTACAGGGAAATTTTCTGGTATTGTATTTCTTAATATCTCTATTAATTCCATTCCTTCTTTTCAGACTTTCCATTGACTAGAGATTTTATTTAGGGGGACTATTTCCATGTGATGTGCCTTTTCTCTCATTCTGATAGACATCTTTTTGCATTTTTTGGTCATTTGTCCCTGTAGAAAGAGAAAGAGTGTGTGGGTGAGGATGTGTGTGTGGGTGTGTCCTTCACCTGGGATCAAACTCAGGTCCTTGTGCTTGCCAGGCAGGCATGGCGCCCCTGAGCTACATCCCCAGCCCTGCATTTTTTGGTTTTTAAACTAAGAGTTTCTTGCCAGTGGTGTCTTACAATTCAGTTGTGTTTTTCATTAATATTCATCCTGCTATTTGTTCTCTTTATTAAGTCCCTTATTAAGGACAGAGGCTAGAAATTTGGGGTTTTGTACAGTGCAGGATTTCTCTTCTTTCCACTTATTTTCATAGTAATGTGTTCATTTGTATAATTGCTACATCCTTGAAAGTTTGCTGAGCACGTAAGATGTTAAAAGATTTCTTTTTTTCTGCATTAATTTGTGTAGCTCAAGAGAGGGCCAGTTACTCATTTTCATTGTCTACTTTAAAACACCTGTTTATTTTTGTGAAATAATTTTCTTGGCATCCTAAATAATTTTAGTGTTTTCCTTTGAAAACTTAAATTATCAGTATACATTTTGATTTTGGGTTTTTCCTGGCAGTAGTATCATTGTATCTTAAATTTAACATTTAGGTTGTTTTCTTTGTTTTGGTGATAGTGAGGAGTGGAGTCAGGACCTTGTGATGCTAGGCAAGTGGCCTATCACTGAACTACATTCGCAGCCATTTTTCTTTGATTTTGACAGTCTCAACTGGTTGACCAGGCTGGCCTTGAATCTAGGATCTTCTGCTTCACTTTCCTGCGAAGCTCAGATTACAGGCATGCATCACTGCACCTAGCAGCCATTTTCTTTTTTTCCTAGTGAAAATTACAGAAGCCCATAATGTAAAACAGATAAAGATCTTTTTCTGCTGAAACATTACTAAAGAGATGCCTCCCATACTCTGCTTAACTTTGAGGGAGTTTTGCAGAGTAAATTTGCACATAATTGCCCCAAAATTCTAATTCCTGCTATTTTTTAAAATTTTGCTAATATATGTTTGCTTTACATAATACATTCAACTCAGGGAATATGCATCTTGATCCTTTTTACTTTATACTATTTTGTTGCCATATCATAGCTGCCATTTTATTGTTTGATTAATTTGTGGGCTATTTTCCTAAAACTAGCAGCAATAGTTTAATGTATATTTTTTGAGATACTAGTGTCAGAAGTGAAATTGACCCTCCAAGTCCCTTTTCTCCATTGTAAAAATATTTTTTTCTGTTAAACTTTGTCATTCTTATAAGCTTAATGTTTTTCCTGTTTTATGTATGTGTTATGATTATTGAATATCCCATAAACGAAACTTGACTTCCATTTCAAGCAGTTTTTAAAAATATTATTTGTTTTATGGTACTCTGTACCCAGGCCCTTACACTGAGCTACATTAGCAGCCCTTGTTAAATTTTTTCACTTTTAGACAAGGTCTCACTAAATTGCTCAGTCTTCTTGCCTCAGCCTCCTGAGCTCTTGGAATTATAGGTGTGTGTCAACACACCCCTCCTGAGGCAGTTTTTAAATTATCCTTTGAGCCCGCATTGTGATGAGTGCTTGTAATCTTTCCCTTTTTTTTTCCTTTTTTGTACCAGGGATCAAACTTGGGTCCTTGTGCTTGCCATGCAGGCACTGGAACCACTGAGCTAAATCCCCAGCCCCAGTAAAGTTTCCTTTTTTAACATAACACATTTAAGCAGCAAGGGGAAACCAAGCTGTTCTTGCACCTTTTGCTTAGAAATCTCCCAGGTAAATACCCATGTTTTTGCTTATAAGTTCTGCCTTCCACTCAATATAGCACAGCTCCCTGCTACTAAGTTCCTTGTTACTTCATAATAAGAATCATCTTTCCTCAAGTTTCCAGTAACATTTTTGACAAATTTCACCAGAAGCACCTTTAATATTATTATCTTGTGGGGTTTGATATCAAACACCTTGAACTCTTCCAGCCTCTTTCATGACCGTATTCCAAAGCTATGTCCATACTTTTGATTTTGTTGTTTTGTGTGTTTACAGCAACATTCACTTTTGGGTACCAAACTTTATGGCTAAGTATTGTCATATAATATAGATGTATCAGAATTTTTTTAAAAACCAGCCTCTAACTTTTGGACATTTAAGTTTCTGGGTATTATTCCTTATTACAAACAAGATAGTGATGCACTTTCTTGTGCATTATTACTTTGTGTATTTGTTGAATTTTTTTTTTTTTTTTCTTTATGACATTGCAGAATCTTGACTCATTGAATCAAAGAGTATGTAAATTTTCAAGATTTTGGTATTTGGTTAGTTGCAGACTCTTCTAACCTAGATTGTTAACTTGAGGGCATGCTTTCATCATGGCATACTATTATTGATTAAGACTTAACAGTGGCAGATAGATAAGCTTGGATTTAATTTTGTGTCAAGTGGTAGGTCATCGTTGATGAAACCTAGTCTACTGATGTATGAGTTTGTAGAAACTCCTTCCATAGTCTCTCTCCCCCACCCCATCCCAGGAATCAAACTCAGGGTCTTGCGTTTGCCAGGCAGCTACATCCCTCTCGCCCTTCCATAGTCTCTTATGTGCTCTATGTGATTTGCTTTTATAGAGGCTTTTTTGGATACTCTAGTATAGGGGTCAGGGGTCTGGCAGGAACTAAGAGGCTCTTGTTTCGTTCAGTCACTATTTTATGGAAATAGCCCTGAAGATTCTCTCTTGATCCTTGTTTATAATTGTGCAATTTTTTTTAGTCACCTTCAACATATAAGCCAGCTCCAGAGATGTTTTCAAAGGTAGTTTCACAAGTTATAGCCAAATAGAATTTTTCTGCCTAGTTATAATTACATACAAGGCAGAAATAACACAAGTTTGCAAAGATACTTGAACTTTTCATTCAGGTGAAAAGACCTAGTTTGTCAGAAATGTAGATTTAGCAAGTATTTTGTGTAAAATAATCCAAGTCCCATTAATTTAAAATGTAGATCATGTGTTTATTTAACAGTTTATTTAAATTTTATGCTGAAGCAGTTTTATCAAACACCAGAGAGAATGCAAAAACTAAATAAATAAAGGTTAAGGCTGTCTTTAAAAACTTACCTTGTAGACAGGAGTGTACAATCAGTGTGTTTATGGGGTTGTCTAAGGGCAAGTGCATGTGAAGGTAGTTCAAATTGGTTTTGACAATATGATTTTAGTGGAGTGATTGGAAGTTGAAAGAATTTATCTTTAATGTATCATCTCCTCATCTTAGGATTACATTTTAAAGACGATTTCTGTGCTTGAGTTGTCATTTGGAAGATTGGAAGATTGAGCCCATTTTAAGAGGACTTGGAGCTGGTCCTCACCTCAAGGAAGGAGTGGCTTATTTCTGAGAGCCACCTGTGATCCACGAACTCACTCAGCATGTCTAATCAAGGAGAAGACTGCTATTTTTTTTTCTATTCTACATGTACCAAAGTAAGAATCTACATCTCCAAATCACATCGTTCTATAGTTTCTTTGACAAAACTGGAGGGGTTTTCTTTATGTCTGTAATTGATTTTATGTTTTGTTTTGTTTAACTGTATTATCTGCTGTCGGTTATTTTGTAAAGGATAGTGTATTTAGAATTCATTGTTCGTTTTTCCTCTTCATTTTATGTGTAACTATAGTTTTCCCATGTTCTACAAAAGAAAAGGCCAGCCTGGGCTATATAGTGACAGATGGGCTTCGTTTTGACAGATCAGATAAAGGGTATTGTTAAGAAATAGGTTAAAGAAAATTATAAATGTGTTGCCCTCAGATTATTCTTATCCTATTTCTTTTATCTTTTCTTACTAATTTGTGTTTAGGTTTCAGGAAATTTTCTTGTTATGGACATTGTACGTAGGATATATTTCAGTGCTACGTATCTTCTCTCTCTCTCTCTTTTTTTTTTTTTTTTTTTTTTGTTTTTTTTTTTTTTTTT